ACACAAATTGTCAGCATTGCATGTCAAAATGTACAAAGTAAAGATCCTTAAATCAAACTATAACAAATTCTCAACTAGCATTTTTCTTACTTTGCTTATCTGTAAGTTTTGCTTATTATTGATGCAAATATTTTTTTCATTGGCTTGCTTGTGTGTGTTGAAATCAGTGTTCACTGACATTTACCAATAGATGTCTAATCCTTCCAAGCTCAGTTCTAGATTAATAAATATATCACACTTGTCCCAAGTAGTACTCAACCCTGGTTTGTGAAATAATGCTCACCATGTTTTGCACCAATTCAGCGGCACCATTTGTTGCCACGTGGGAGGTTTGCATGAAAGTGGGAGGTAGGGAAGGTATTTAAGAACATTCAGGGTAAGGGAGGTATGCAGAAGTGGGAGTGGTATGAAGAAATGCTGCATATGTGGAGAGAGAGAGGAATTAGTGTGGCCAACCAAAGAAGACTCATAGAGTCAAATACAGTAGAAAATCAGCACATTCAAGCCTCAGCGGAAGTTGGAAAGGAACAATAGTTCACTTCTAAACGTCTTCACACATTTCATATGACCTTTTTAGAAAAGAAAATACCTGAAAATATTTAGAATCTTGTCTTTCTGATTCCATACACCACACTACACAGTGAGATATGCTAATATGCAAAGATATTTGCACATCGCCAGCACTGAGGCATCTTGTAATCTGTCATAAAGGGAAACTGTGTACAATGATGGCTATAAAGCACTGCACAAATGTCATAAGAGGATCAAGTCCATGTTTCCTGTCTTAGAGCCTGTGAAATTTAAGAGGGCATTTTCTTTTTTATTGAACCCTCTCTCAGCTTCTATAATACTCAGCTGTTTATGTAACCGTAAAGTAAAGATTATCAAGGACAATGTCTCCAGGGGACTATGCACAACTACTATCCCACTTTAAATATTAAACCACAGAAAGGATTCTAAAATCACATCATGGGGCTGCTTTAAAGCCACAGAAAGCAAGGAAATTCCAAGTTAAGACTGGAAATCCAGTCTGACATTAACTGAAACTGTTAGCAGGAGGGTGTTTCGAGCTTGCATCGCCTTGCTTTTGTGGGTGAAAAACAGATGCATAATGCTCCTTTAATGTCCCTTTTGTGGTTTAATTTCCTTTCAAACTGTCTGAAGCTCAACTCTGAATATTTTATCTTAAAATAAACATTTATGGACTATTCATTTTTCAAATCTGATTTTTTTAACTTTAAAGATGTCAGGCTGGAGCCCCTGTGCTCAGGTCAGAACCAGGGAGGGTGCGGGGAAAATTGGCTCTAAGCCATCTTTCCACTCCCCTAATCCTCCGCCCAAACAGAGGCTTTACTGCATTTCTGTGTTGCTTAGCATTTGCTTCAGCACACTGCACTGCAACTTCCCCCCTCCTCTCTCTCCCCCTCCTTGCCTCCACTTCCATCCATGCCTTCAACCCATCCAGGAATTCCCCTACGCCAGGGGGTGGGAGTGGGTGGTATAGAACTGCATATGCTGTCTTTCCAGGGCCGGCTCCAGGCACCAGCCTCGCAAGCAGGTGCTTGGGGCGGCCACTCCGGAGGGGGCGGCATGTCTAGCTATTCGGCGGCAATCCGGTGGACGGTCCCTCACTCCCGCTCGGAGCGAAGGACCTCCCGCCGAATTGCCGGCGCAGATCACGATCGCAGCTTTTTTTTTTTTTGGCTGCTTGGGGCAGCCAAAACCCTGGAGCCGGCCCTGTGTCTTTAGATCCCCCAAGAATTCCCACTACATCAGGGAAAGCGCAGGCGCTGGCTTTCTCCTTTGCCCGGCAGTGCTCAACCCCCACTCAGCCCCAGGCCCTGCCCCCACTCCACCCCTTCCCCCAAACCCCAACCCCCACCCTGCTTCTTCCCTCCCAGTTCTGCCCCCTCCCCCCAAGTGTGCCCCATCCCTGCTCCTCTCCACTAGCGCCTCCTGCCCACCGCGGAACAGCTGATCACAGCGGGTGGGTGGCGCTGGAAGGGAGGGGGAAGAGTTGAGTGGCGGGGCTGCCTGCGGTTGGGAGGCCCTGGGGGGGGGATGGGAGGGGGAGAGCTGGCTGCCAGGGGGTGCTAAGCACCTACTAATTTTTTTCCATCCGTGCTCCAGCCCTGAAGCACTCATGGAGTTGGCGCTTATGAGGGAAATCCACAGCTAGGACATCCCACCGTCCCCTTTGTACTGAGGAAGCAGGACATAGGAGATGGAGCCCGGATCGCACCCTCTAACCTATGCATGCTCAAAATACCACCTTTCTGTCACTAATTTCAGATGTTCCCAAACCAGTGACTGGTTGGCCCAAGAGATAGGGAGCCTTTCAGTTGTAGTTTAGCAGTTAGAATCAGGGCCATGTGTGTAATGACAAAACCATTATCACTGAACATATCTTTTTAGTGGTTTTGGGATAACTCCAATAGAGCTGCCCACAACATAAGAAACTGGTACTTGGCTGATATTCCCTTATTGGAAGTCTCAGCAGAGGGTGATGGGAAGGAACGGGAAAGCTTTCACTTCTAGTGTATACAGAGCTCTGTGTATAGAGCACATCTCATCCTTCAACGCTGGCATATTTAATTAGAAATGTATTCTTTTAAAAAAAAATCTGAAACCCGGACATTTATTTTGTAATTACACATAAAAAAGGCAAATAGAAAAAGAAGAAACAAAGGAGCTGTATGTCTGTATAGTTTCAGCCCCAGATGATTATTTTTGGACTTCTCTATTGGTCACAGAGAATTCAGCAGAAGTGCAGACAGGACCTCATTAATGAGAATGTACTGGAAAAAGTCCTGTAGCCTTTAATAGGGAGCAATAATTCTCTAATAGAATTCTCAAACCAACCTTTCGCAGGGTTCTAACTCTAGTAAATCACACAGGATCAATCTCTAATCCCTTATATAGGTTTTTGAGAACAATTTCTCACTTTAGTAAATTCAACAGGACTTTGCCATGCAGGAATGCAGTTTAAGGACTGCAATTAAATCCCAAACTCATGTATATTCTGTACAAGGTTGAAATTGTCTCCAGTTTTGTGTTAGTTCAAGAATATTTCATTTGAGAGGGGTCAGGGTTTGCAAGCTCTTTGTGTGCACTCTTATACTTCTCTCCATCTTCAGAACGAAGCAATTCTGGTTTCCGCACCCTCTCAGATGTTAACTCAGTGCTAATTTGGGAAAAGCAGTTTTCACATTCAGCACACTGATAACTGAATCCACAAAGGAATGACACATTTTCAGCGATGAAGAGCAGGGGATGCGGACAATGGCTGTGCTTTCCCACTGCATAAATCCTCCTGACTCAGCTGTCATTGTGTGAATCTACTGCACAAAAGCAGCTTTTACTTGCATGACTGGGCTTTATTTCACCAAGGCCATCACAATGGACATGGGTCCTGTGCTATTCTTAGTATTAATCTACCCCACAGCAAGATACTCTTCTGGCAGAATCTATCTATACAGATCAGTGACAAACTCTCACTTCCACTTCAATGTTCCCTGAAGTCCAGATACCCTATCATCAGAACAACAAGAAATCAATGAGCAATATTTCTGGATTATCAGGCGACAACTGCCTGCAAAAGCAATACCCAGTTGATGCAAACCTGTTCTCTTTCTCGTCCATGGGAAGTTTGCCATTGATTTCAATGGGAGCAGAATCAGATCCAATGTGTTTATCATTATTATTATATACATGTTATCTGTATTACATTAACATCTAGAGATCTCAATTAGGGATCCATTGTATTAGGCACCATCCATGCATCTAATAAAAAGTAAATCCCTTCCCAAGAGATCTTGCAATTTAAACAAAATAATACTAATGTGATACCAGGAAATCTTGGCAATAGCTATTATGCTTGTCCATTAAAGGTCATGTTTCAAAAGATACCTTCCCTTTTGCACTTGAAAAATTTGCACCTGTATTTTTGCACCTGCACTGAATTGTGGATTCAAATATGGTTACCTGACCCTCACGGAAGGTGCAAACATTTGAACACATTTTTGGGGTTCAGAAATAGGAATGCAAATACAAATTGTATCTACAGAAAGAGAGGCTGTCGGCCCTTTACAAAATTTAGCCCTAAGTATTTTAAATATCAATATGAGGTTGTCTAGAGTGTCTTCAATTACTTTAAACAAGCTATTGGAACCAATTAGCTTTTTAAATCTGTGAATGCATGAATATGTTAATAGACAAAAATAAACATACATTTGTGCACCTATCCAAATCCCATTGGAGTTAGTAGAAACTGACTTCACTTGGAATTGGATCAGGCCTTTATTTGCATGTGCAAATTCTTTGATAACACCTGTAGTTGTGGTTTGTGCACTGGCAAATGAGCACTTCTGAGTCTAACTGGTTAACTGCACATTGTAATTGAAGTTACTCTCCCCTGTGAAAATAGCAAAGATTCCAGTGATGGAGGCAAGCTCTAGGGCACCCAGGGCTCCTTTGACACTCCAACATATTGGGAGCTATGGCATGTTTGAGGGCTCCTGTTATCTAATTTTCCTTCTCCTCTTTCTCCTTCTGGGGAGTCTGGAGGGCCAATGTCAGAACTGCACCTCAGAGATGACCCGGTTGCATTATGAACTGGCCTGTAGAGGGTGCAACTCTAGTCAACATTCTCTCTAGCATTTGTGTTCAGACTTCCCTGGTGGTACTTACTCAGGCCTAGAAGTCCTGTTTAACATATATGTACAGCAGTCTGCTCCTGCCACATGATACTGCTTTAGCTGCTGCCCCTGGATATGGTTTAAATTTAATCACACTCCACAAATCTCAATATAATTAAAAACCAAAAAGCGCTCCTTTATAAATCACTCTTGATTAGTTTAACTGGTTTAAGACAAAATTCTGCTCCATATCAAGGAGAGGTAAACATGTCATGGGTGTTACTGGAAAGGAACTATTTGCGGTATGCTAGACTTTAAGAGCTACATGAATATAACACTGGAAAAAATGTACGTCTCTCCTACCATTCAGCCAACGGGAATCATGCTGCTCTGTCCTGATCGGATGATGGTGCCCCAGAGTTCGGAAAATGGCAAAATCTCTACCCATGAAGTCTGCTGCTGTCCCAGAGTACAATTCTCCATCTGTGGAATGAGATAACTGTAAACATTCTGTCGAGACGTGAACACATATTGCTACCTGTTACACTATTCCCAAATCATTCAGTGATCATGAGAAGGCTCCAAAAATCAGGAGACTGGCTTAAAAGTTGTGAGGTTTTAAAATGTAATTGGTGGTGGTACTCTTTATTTGCCCTCTGGTTTCTGAGCCTTTAAGATGCACTGGGGTCGCATTTTCAGGATTTTCTCTGCAACCATGAGGGCTAGAAATTTAGTCGTTTTTTTTTTAATTAAAGCTGAGTTTTTCACATAATCACTTGCCTCTAGGAGCTGGGACATTTAAGAAAAGTACCAAATATTTCAATACCTGTGATAAAATAGCAAGAGTTGGCAACCTCACTTTTATGTTATATTGATGGAATATAGGGACCAAGCCACATCAATGATATCATAGCAAAACTTTATTCCTCCTGTTGAAGATGTCTGCATATAGTTCCAGGTGTTATATCCTAGTGTTAATCGTGACATCTTTCCACCAATCGTGGTTGTCTTTTCGGTACCTGCTAAGGCAGCCACTTGAAGATATTAGACCCCGATTCTCAAGTAAGAATGGCAGTGATTTACACCTCACTTTGCACCGCTGCAAATGGTTACACAAGGTGTCAAGCTATGGAGAATCAGGCCCACTGGTTCCCAGTTCAGAAAGTTGCTGAATTCTTTCCTTGAATTGTTTACATGTGAACTGCTTTCTCATATCGGATTTTAATGATGAATTCTTTGGAAGCACTTTCATGAGCATCCTCCCCTGCTTGGGAAATAGAACATTTTTTTTTCCTTTCTGTGAACTTTCTGCTTGCAAGACTGTCACTCAGTGGCACACATTTCTCTCAGCACAGGTAGTAGGGAAGGAGGATAAACCTTTCTGTGGCATCCAGCCCATACGCAGTACACGGGTGGTCAAGTCTGAAATCAAACTCACATAGTAACATAGACCCAGAAATGCCACTGCTGATCCAACCAGAAGGGTTACCAGGGACAAAGAATGATGTGGTCCCAATTCAAAAGGCGAAGCTCAAATCTCACAATAGATCCTTGCATTGTGCCACTATTCACAGTAGTCCTAGACCACTTGGTGAAGAGATGAATTCCAAGAAAAAGAATTAGATACACAATTAGAATTTTATCCACAAGCAGTTTCAAGGTGCCAAATGATGGTGCCAGTTTTGTTAGAAGTAAATGCAGAGGTATTCCATGGATTTACTCTGGATTTAGAAAGCTGAGAGTACACTTTGCAGGATTGGGCCCTTATAGTGCATATATAAGCAGATCCAGTCCAGAGTTTCCCTTGGAAATTAAAATAAAAGTATGTCATTCCTCTCAACCAATATTTTAGCTGCCCATCTTAAAAGCGTCATTAGACAGAAGGATAAATCTGAGGATGAAGCAACAGTTTTTTAAAGCTCAAGTGATAGATTTTTCTGGTCAGGCTGAATCCCACCATAGTCTGATTTTCAAACACCCTTTTGGAAACAAGCGTATGATTCTCATGCCAATTTTAGATATTTCCATGGTGGGACAGCCATGTCCAAACATGCCTGTTGGATAACATTAGCATCTTTCCCCTGAAACACTGACAGCATAAAATTATCAATTGACGCTACAATGACTGTGTACCATATGGTATTCATGAAAGTCAGGAAGGGTGAAAACATGATAGCAGAAAGGCGTGGAATTGAATGAATTCACAGCAGAGATTATAAGCAAATAGACCAGTCGTGCCCAGCAGGAGGTGTAATCAGAAGTGAAACAGAACAGCATATCATTAATTAACAATTTCTCATTCTTCTGTTTCATTTTCTACTTTTTTTTTTCAAACAGGAGACAATCACTTAATTATAGTCCTTATTATGTACAGCATATGCAGCTGAGATTTTAAAGAACAACAACTCTTTTGGCTTGTGAAAAATGACTTTGATGCTCCTCTTAACCTTTCCTTAACCTTATCCTCATTTTCTTTTCATCCACTCCCAAGCAAGTCAGGATAAATCAATATAAATCAACAAAACCAGTTTTTTATTTCTGAGTTGTCAACAGATGGGAAAGTCACTCAAGGAAAAAAAGGATTCCAAATTTAATAATAGACTATTACAATTAAGCAAATAGTTCAACAACTTATTAAGATTTTTGTAATATTTTGCATTTTTGGGTCCCTTGGCACTTGAGGATCTCATTCAACACATGAAGAACTGTAAAACTGTTGAGGTGCAGTCGCCTCAGGAATGCAACATGGCTTCCTGGTTTGTGCCAGTTCATCACATGACAGTTTAACATTATTGTGGTCTGATCTGATCTGATGGAGCTTGTCTTTGCCAGCAGTCATAGGTGGGGTGGGAATCCCACCAACAAGAAGCTGAAGGATGCATTTTACATCGAGTTCTGAACTGGGCTAGAACTTAGCTTTTGGAGGTCAAAAGGCAAGTTTTTGCTTTCTATTACAGCTACCTCTAAGTAGGGATGGGTAAGTATGTTTCAAGAAAAGAACTATTTGACTCTTGGCCTACAACTTGAACTGATTCACTGAGATATGCAAGAGTTCTGACTGGGTTCAATCCAGTGCCCATTGAAGTCAATGGAATTAGATGAGGCCCTTATCGTGGGTAAGGGTGAGAGATTGGGCTTTCATGGGTAAGAATTGCAGGACTGAGCCCATTGTGTTTTAAAAATCGTTTCTAATTTTTTGTACATCTCTGTGTCTCCTTGTTCCAATTAGGATTAGATGCACAGTACGGCAGGAAGGGGTGTTCTTACTCTATTTCCAGTTCAACCAGCAGCAAGAAGTACCAAGACTCTCACAAGAGGGGTGAGCCTCTTTGTGTGCAATTTTTCGGATTCAGGATAACCCAAAATGATTTCCCAGAACTTGAGTTAGAAATCTAGATCAAAATTTTGCCCCTTCTCTATGTATAAGCATTGGGTGTTTATGCAGCCCTTTACTTTGGAACCTCGTGCGAATGACCCATGGCTACTATAAATTTAAAAGGGTTTCTCATGCCATTGCTAAGCCCTCTGACCTCCGATTAATGCCTAAATTGATAGTATTGTCACTAGCAGCTTTAAAAAAATATTGGAATTTAAAGTTCAAAAAAATTACAATAATTTCTGAAGCTGAAAAAACCCAAATTGTCAGTTTTCATTTATGTCCAGACAGCATAAAGAAATGGATACCGCTCCCTATACCGAGCAAATACGTCATTTTCTTTCATCAGCGTGCAGAGAGCTGTGTAAGGAGCTAGGTGTTGTGAAAACAAATCTCTTTGGCCAAAAGGACTGGTGTTGACACACATACGCAAACAGATATATTGTATATTAACTTTCCAAATTCAGAGGTGACCATTACAGTGCACAACCACTCTGTTTCTCATTGTAAATCTTTTGAACAGAACAGTTTTTCCTGATCCATTGAACTTTAAGAACAATTTCCAGGTTTTCTTAGATACCAAGATGCCTGAAATTAAACAATGTTCATGTATCTTTTGTACTTTTTTGTCTTCGGCTCTTAACTATAAAAGAGTTGCTTAGTTCTTGGACATTAGTGAAGTTTGAGGTTCTTGTTTTAAGGTCATGATCAATTTTAGCTGTCCAAGGATGAAGATAAAACTAATGCTGGAATGGGCAGGTTACTGCAACACGTTGGAAAGAATTCCCTAATGAAATCTGGTACCAAGTGGACAGAGGACTCCCTATTAAGGCTGGGCATGACAGAGTGTTAACAGCAGCACCCTGATCACTGATGTTGCTGCAGCATGAAGAAGGCTGAAGGCTCAGCGGTGAGCAATTAAATAGTTTTTGTTGGGGGATTATGAGCCCCCAGGTGGTAATTACTGGACTAATGATGTAATTGGGAGGATACAAGTAGAAGAAACAGGAAGTAAAGTGGGGCTCAGCGGGGGAGGTGTACTGATGAGGGAGGCTGTGTGGCAAACACCTGCTATAAGATGTCGGTGTTATGTTCTGTGTGTAAAAATGTGGAGAAATAAAAGATACCAGTGGTGAAAGAAAAACAGCTTGGACATCTTTATGACTGTTAGGTACCAGGAATAGGCTGGACAGTGCAGCACACCGGGTAACATCGGTGGCACCCTATGACACTAGGACACTCAACAATGGCTTGACTGTTCTCACTGAATTCAATGGCAAAACTTCCATTGACTTCAATGGGAGCAGTTAAGACAAATATGAAGAGATTTTTGAAAATCCCAGATGGGATTTTCAGAGGAACTTAATTATTCCAATACTATTGATAGTCAGTGCAGCTGGACTGTCTAACTCCTTGACACTTCTTTGAAAATCCCTAAAGCCTAAGTGTCTCAGACTAATTCGTTAGTTAACAATCTTCTCTTAGAATCGTAGAATAGTAGGACTGGAAGGGACTTCGAGAGGTCATCTAGTTCAGTCCCCTGCACTCAAGGCAGGACTAAGTATTATCTAGACCATCCCTGACAGGTGTTTGTCTAACCTTCTCTTGCGACTTTCATAGATGAAACACACCCTACCTTTCCCTTTTCCTTCTGTCCTATAATAGATGAAACCAGTGCCTTGGGAGTAGATACTCCGAACACTTTCATGTATTAACATGCTCACATGCCGCTTGTTTAGTTAGCAACATATAGATAAGGAATGATGGCTAAAGAATGGCTTGGATTCTTGAGGGCATGTTCAAAACTGGCATCTACTCAGAGCAGAGTAACAATAGATACCTTTAACGAACATTAAAAAATAATGAATAATGTTTGGAAGTGAATGGAGTGAGAAACATATTTTGAAAATATACCGGAACAATTTAATAATGATGAAATGTTTCTTTAAAGCACGATTGAATTTTATCAGGAAACCCTTTTTATGCACATGTTTCTTTCAGATGAGACAAAAATGGAAAACCCTGAATACTAATGGCTATTAAATATCATAGGGCACTTTTTGCATATTAATCTTGGTGTCCTGCTGAAATTCCAACTTGGGCAATCACATTCTACTCACCTAAAATTTGCCTTGTTGTTTCTGAGTCAAGAATTTATTCTTTGCCTTCACTCTTTAAAAAAGTCACTGTTTAGGGTTGCTGGTAGTATAGAAGCTATGTTACACCTCAGAGGTGGCTGCCTTTTAGTGACGGTTGAGTGACCATTTTAAATATCCACAGAAAAAAACCCTGTGAGTATATGTGGGTGCAAATTGCAATCCCTGGCCTTGAAGAAGGCAGCTGCAGCAAAGGAGATATTCACTTATAGGAAAAGGCAGGAAAAAGTACAGCTGTCTCCTTCCAAAAGGCTTTACTATGGCAGTGGTCCCCAAACTGCAAGGCGCACTCCCCTAGGGGAGCACAGAGGAACGTGCAGGTGTGTGTGGCAGGGCCCGGACCAGCCCCCCATGAGGGGTGGGGAATGAGTGTCACCCAGCCCTGCTCTGCCCCCAGCCACAGCTGCCGATCTGGCTCCAGCCTCGGGCCCCGGCTGCTGCCCCACTCCTGGCCCTGACCACAGCTCTGCTCCCGGCCTCGGCTCCTGACTGCGTTTCCTGCGGGGCGTGGACAGGTTCCATTACGGGTAAGGGGGAGTGCGACAGAAAAAGTTTTGGGACCACTGAACTATGGAAAAGCAGTTGTGTCTCAATCAGCTCATCTCCCAGCGAGCCTGGCTCCACCCTCTTCTGGGTCAAACCCACCCACTTGGAATGCTGTATCTGCTGCTTCAAAGGCCACATAGGTACAGTGGGGGCTGTGCTTCCCACCAGACCAACTTTCTGCCGGAGGGCCACTGGCAGAGTAAGCCATTGGAAACCAGTGAGTGAATCTGCCCCCCACTTCATAAAGTACTTAGGGAACTTTTTTAGTAAAATGTAGCATTATAATGTAGTCCATGACACAGTGTGGCAATAAGGAAACCAGTAAGAAGTCTTAGAGAGGCAAAAATTGTCCTGTGGGTTAAAAAAGAAAAAAAAATCAATCTGCCTGATTTTCAAGAGTACAAGTAAGCACACTACATGAAGCCTGAGTCAAAACCAAATAAGGTGCTCAGGATAATGATCTATAGTGGGGAAATATATATTTAAGACAGAGGAAAAAAAATACTGAGGCAGCAAAAATGTGACTAACCTGACAAAGGCAAAGATTTGTTAAAAACATTGAAAGCAAAGCCAAAGGAAATAAAATAATCATATTTGTGCAGGACCGGGTAAAAAAAGGAATGCGAAAGGTTAGACTCTTGACTTTGTGTGGTTGCATACCGTGTGTATCACGTAATACCGGCTTGTCATCATCCCTTTTCTTTATTGAATATTAAAGTAAATAGTCAAGTCAATCCCAGGGGAGCAGCTCCATCACAAATTAAAGTTGCTCCAGGCATTAATTTATACACCAGCCTTTTAGGCACATGGTTCTTCCCTTTTCATTTGGAGTAAGTACAGGGTGCAAGTTGGAGCAAGGTATGTGCTTCTTTCTTGTTTACAAAACTGTGTGGCCCCAGGGCAGCTCATCACCTGTGATCATTAGGGCTACCTCTGGACTTTCTGTCTTTTATGAGCAAATGCAGTGTAAATGGAGCATGAATGTTTATTGGGTAAAGACCTACAATTACCAATGTTTGAAAAGTAACAGAGAATATAACTCACGCTGGACTAGTTTGTATCTTCTGGAGGGTTTTGGGGGGACACAGAACAGTGAACTTTTGAAAGACCATTGATGCCTCCTTGATGCTGACGCAGACCACTGGATCTTGAATTATAACTTCTGATCTTGACCCCACAAAGTCATGTATCAAGGACAAAGCCACTGTAGCAAAACCCATGAAGTTTTAACTGCTCAGGTAAGGGGAAAAGGGGGAAATGCCTTTTTATTTCCTTCTCACACAACACTCCTGTGCTTTGGTATAAGAACAAGATAAGAAAAAGGAAAAGGAAAAATTAGACATTAAAATAAAAAGGGAGGCTGAGATTTTCAATGCAGTGTAGGGGATTTTGACACACATCTTCCATTAATTTAGTGACTCCTGATTTAATAATAGTTAATTCAATGAAGGATGTGTGTTTAAATCTCCTAGCCTGCTTTGCAAAACTCAGCCAGAAAATCTAAACAGGCTCAGTGAAGCAATAGTAACTTCGGGCCAGATTTTGTAAAGGTATTTAGATATCCAGTTGAAATCAGTGAAATCACTTAAACACATTTAAAACTCATGCCCTTCGATCCTGATCCTGCAACTGAAAGTGTTTGAATACCCCCACCCTCACCCCAGTATCTTCATAGGGCCATCAGTAACCTCAGTGAGGCTCTGTGTGGGTGTGTTAGGAACTGGGACATAGGCAGTATGTCCTAGTGGGCAGAGCAGGTGTTAAGACAGGGAATGGAAGTAGAGGCCAGAGATGGAGTCAACTGCCAAGTGTCAGAGCCAAGGGTTGAGCCAGAGTCAGGAACAGTAATTGAAGCTGAGGTTTGGAGCCTGGTTCAGGCCAAGAGTTGAACCAGAGTCAGAGCTGTGCTCAGACACCAAGTGCCAAGCCAAGGGTTGAGCCAGAGTCCGTCAGAAGTCAAAGCCAAGGGTCAGAGCCAGGACTGGTAGCCGATGGTCAGGATCAAGGTGAAATGGTAGGAACAAGAGAGAGAGGCCAGAATCAGGCACAGAGCAGGAGCAAGGTGAAAGCTAGGAGTGAGGAGCAGCTCAGGAACTAGGAACAGAGTTGGATCAGGATTGCAGGAGGCAAACAAGAGCAGGGTCTGATGTGGCAGCAGCAGCAGAAGGTCGGCACAGTTGTTCAGACAGCCCAGCTGGCTCATTGATGGCTCAAGTAGAAGGAGTAAGCCAATCAGACGGCTGCAGGCCTTGGATGCTCCGAGAGAATGTCCTCTGGGGTTTGACCTTCCAGGTTTAGTGAGAGGCAGGAATGGCGCCAGGGTTTTTGCCGCCCTAGGCGGCAGCGCTCCTCCTCTGAGCATTCAGAGGAGTCTGCGGTCTTCAGTGACGGGGGTCCTTCCGCTCCGCGTCTTCAGGGCACTTCGGCGGCGGGTCCCGGAGTGAGTGAAGGACCCGCCGCTGAATTGCCGCCGAAGATCCGGAGCGGAAGGACCCCCCCCGCTGCCGAATTTCTGCTGAGGGCGGCAAAATGCCGTCCCCTAAATCCTGCCGCCTTAGGCGACCGCCTGGGGTCGCCTAGTGGAAGCGCTGGCCCTGGTGAGAGGCTACTTCACCCATCTCCCTTGGTGCTGATGAATGAGAGTCAGCACTCCAGGGACCCCACAATCCCGGATTCTAGACCTGAACCCTAGCACCTATAGACAGTCAGCTGTAGAATCAGGTTCTTAGGGTTTGTATGTGGAAATTCCTGAGTATCCCTTGTTCCCACTGACTTCAGCTGAAATTAAGAGTGTGCAACACTTGCCACCTCAAGCTCTTAATGGGGAAACAAAGCAAAACAGCTGATATTTGAGGCATCTTTTATATAGTCACCTTATTTTCAAAACACTTGGATAAACCCATCTGCCAAATAATCAACCTGGAATTATTTTAACATAGAACTCTTACCCCAAAAACAACAACAACAAACCCACAACCACTGAGAAATAGTGTGAAAGGGAAAATGTAGCAAACTTGTATTTCTCTTTGGAGAAAGTAGGTCTCATTCATTTTACACTGCCACACGTACCTATTAAAAGAGAAGCTGTCAGCAATTTGGGGTCATAGGGGCTTTTCCCTCGTCCATTTTCAAAATGTGAATCCTCCAGTTTAAAAATGTTGTCCTGTTGAGGAAAAGAAAAAACAATACAATTATCTGACAAAAGGACACTAATATTGAGTCTGATTCAATACAGTGTTGCATCCAAGATAGCTACAGAGGGCCAGATCCTCGGCTGGGGCAAATTGGAATATCACCCGGGAGGTCAATGAAGCTACACCTGCCTGCAGCAGCTAAGAATCTGGCCCAGACCGTCTGTCTTACAACTAGAATGACATTGCTGAACATCAGTCAAAAATCATTCAGACAACTCCTGAGCTCTAGTCTAATCCTCATATGTTTGTAATAACTTTGCATTGCTTTCAGTGGGAGTTTGCCTGGGTAAGGACTGAATAAAGATCTTGGTGTTTGGACTTTGTATCTGGAATTAAAAAAGGTGAAGCATGTTTCACTGATCACGATAGCCACATTTCCCAAGGAGGAATCTTGGCATAAATTGCAGTGTTGCATCCTGCTCCAGCTAACTTGGGCTTTTAAAGACCGGCATTTCCCTTATCCCCAGACTCAGTTCATTCACATTATTAGTAGTCATTTCTTTCAGTACTTTTCAATGCATTACTTTTTAGTTCTATGAGCTGGGGGAACAGCATGATGAGATATAAACGAGATCAAATAAAACCTCAGCCAACTCTAAACAAATCCGGTCCAATAAATACCAGACAATGGGATTTCAGTACATCTAATTATTTTTCATTGGCTCAGGGCCATATCTGCCAATCAAATTGAGCACAACGTTTCTAGTTTTTGCAATGTGGGTAAAATCCACATCTCCCATGTAAAGCCAGAATATATGCTGGGGACAGATTTCCGTCTCATCTGTACATGCCATGGACTATAGTTACAGATGCAGTTTGCTGTAACCCTCTTTTTCCCCTTCCTCTCCCACGGGATTATAGTCAGGGGTCCTATTGTGTTAGGTGCTGTACAGATGCATAAAAAAGAAACAGTCCCATATTTTAGGCCTAACACAATATTAGTAGTTTAAAGCAACTAAGGCACATGATATCTTTCTTCCAATATCTTAACAACCTGCCTCCATATTTTCTCGCATCTTCCTTTTCTCATTCCCTTCATTCATACCTTGTCATTTACCTAGTCACCTCCTGTAAGGACTCTATGCTTTCTCTTATGCTATCTCTCTGTGCCTGAGGATCCTCTCTGATCTGCATCATGGCATCTCTCTCTTCTCCTTCAACCTCTCCTTTTTTGTTTAGTCTTCAAACTATGATCTTCATTCCACCACTCTGACTCTATTTCCTGACTTTGCTCCCTCAAATCATTAATTGTAGCATATTAACTTACAAAAGATGAAAACTTGATCTGAACTTTAGCTGCACACCCCAAATCTAGTTCTTGCATAATAAATTAAAGGAATAAGCAGATGATATTATTAGCGCTGGACAATAGTAATAGAAAATGGCACTAATGCTATAAGCCATTTTTAATAAAAATGTTATTATCAATATATATTTCCTTGGGATTCTTTCATTAATGAAGATAATTGCTCAACATGTACCCCAATGGATACTTGATAATGTTACAAATATATCATGGTTAGTTTGAGGGCCTCTGGAAGCATGCTCCCCTGGAAGCATAACCTATTACAACTTGCCCAAATACCCCTTAGAATACAAACAAGCAGTAAACAGAGCAAATGATTAAGAAGATCTTGCACACACCCAGAAATAAGAGTAAGAAGCAATAAAGAAGGAATCTGATTAGAAACAAGCGTTTGGTTATATGTTTCTGTACTTTGTGGCATTTAGGTCCGAATTCTGCTCTCAGAGGAGCTCATCAGTAGGAGATTGGGATCTCCACGCATGAATCTGAGGGCAAAATGTAGTCCTTAAAGTTTCTATAAAAACGTGCACTTGATCATTTTCAAGAGTGCTGGACATAGATCCAAAATGGAAACTCCATTCAAATTATAAATAAAGGCGAGAAGTTTTTAGCGAGACAGTATGCAAACTATTTGCCCTTGGAAAAGTGCTTGAACATATAATTTGGAAATCTCCTGGGCTTTATAATTTGAATGCAAAGCATCACATCTTAGTGAATCAGCAAATCCCCTATCCATAAATAGCAAGAAGTACATAGTGGGCTCACAAACTGCTCACTGTTTCAAAATTGTTTGAAGTCTATTATATAATCAAAGACTGGCATTCATGAAAAAGCAAGCTGGTAGCAAGATGACATTTTGTACAAGGGCAAATAAAAATCAGATAGATTTCAAAGAAAGGTTATTGTAACAAAATGACCTATGGACCTGATTCTCATTTACATTAAGGCCGCTCCCTTGGCTATGCTCAACCCGAGCAAAGAAACCTAAAAATGGAGGGAAATGTAATGTATCCCCACTTTAAGGCCCCTTCATATCCTTAGTGTACATGAAATTCTGGCCCCAATATACTGAATATACAATAGTTTCATTTATTCGCTATGTGAATTATAAAAGTCTTTAGGTTTGGTTTCCTATAGATGCTCCCATGTAATTCAAGTCAACCCTAATGCAAAAGAGGGAAGAAGGATAATCCTGGAGGTAAAGCCTGAGAGACAGAAGGTGCAAAGCTTAGTTGTACTTATATTTTCCCATTGACTTAAGCTGAGTCAGGATTGGGCCCTGGGCTTCTATTCCTGGTTTTGCCACAGATTTTGAGTATGTCACTTAGGCCAAACTTTTCTAAAGTGGGTTCATGCAGTTAGGTCCTTAGGGTCAAATTTTCAAAGTTATTTAGGTCTCTAACAATGCAGGTAAGAGCTTAGTAACTCCCATTAACTTAAACAGGTGTTAGGTGCCTAACCTGCTTAGGTACTTTTGAAAATCCCACTAGACACCTATCTGCATCTTTAAGTGGCTAAATAGCTTTGAAAATCTGGTTCTTAGGCTTTGGTAGAATTTGGGCAACTAACTCTATTAGGCTCCTTTGAAAATCCCAATCATAATTCAGGCCCCAATTTTTAGGCCCTGTTGATTTAAATGGGAACTGTGGTTGTTCAGGACCTCTAAAAATCAGGCCACCTTTACTTAGGGCTGAAATTTAGAGACCCAATTTTGAAAAGTTTGACTTTAATTTCTCAGTGGCTCAGATTCACCTGGTTAGCCTCAAAAGACTCCTCTAGTACCCAGGGTTGTTTTGAGTCTGAATGATTTAATAGTTATAAAGGATTTAAGATCTGCAGAAGAACGTTGCTTATATATAAAAATGCAAATTATGATTAAATACATGCAATTCAAATGGGCTGTTCACAAACAGTTGCCTTTACTTATTTGCTATTCATTATTTCTGGTTTGTGATTGGTCATCTAAGTCACACAGTATGCTTCTGTTCCCTGATTGGATGAAAAACCTGTTAAAACAGTTTGTCAATGTCAATTACCAAATACTCTTGTTCACGCATAAATATCTTTGTTTTCATGGTAATATTGATGTTCTTAGGAAGAACAGGCACTCCCTAAATCTCTGTGCAACATAAGTGAATAAAGAGGGATACAAGCATGATCAAACTGAACAATTGTTTGAAATAAGAATAAAATTTGTTTTTGCAATATTTGACAAGCTTTAGTTGGCAGACTGGTTTGAGTGTCTTTCTGAGAATAGTTGTAGGGTCAGTATGCAAACCTCCCTCATTCTACCTGTTCTATAACTCTGCCTAAATCCTGACTGTATTAGACTGTATTAAATACAAGAAGAAGAAGAACTTGTTTTAAAGAAATGAAATGACCATAGAAACCCCAAAGAATTTCATTATACTATTTTCTCTGTACAAGATGACCTAGCAAAAGTAGCGTAATCAGAAAAAATGCACAACATGAATGTCATGTTAACCTTGATTGATTAGTAAAGACACCAAAAAATCCCATCTCAGTGGCATACCAGACATTAGATACCATCAAGAATATTGAACAATTCTCAGGGACACTGAGAATTAGAATCCCTTTGTATAGCAACATTCTGGGGTGTCAAGTGTAATATATCACCTACATCACTGTCTGGCTCAAACAGGATGACCTCTGGAAACATAAGTGCTATACAATGATTGTCTGTTCTAGCTGAGCTATTAAGTAGACAGCATATGTAAGCAATAAGAAACACACTCCTAAAACCAATACATACAATTGAACTATACAATTTAAAAGTCTCAGTTCTTTAAGTGATTCCCTCCCCAGCCTCCTTATTTTCCATAATAAATTTAGAACAGGAATAATGGATTCCAATTGCTTTAGCAGATTCCACTACTATGTTAAATAAATTATGGGGCCATACTTTATTAGACGATTGTGCTAGTTTTCTATGGTTATTTTTAGCAATCAAGACCACTGCTTTCCCCCTTTGTCTTCTGGATTTCCTGTATGTTATTAGACTGTGGTGAGGTCAGGCATCAGAGGAAATAACAGCAGTGTTAACTCCTAGACCCAGTGTTTTATGAATTACTGAACATCAGTGATGTCATAGTAATAAATCTTGCCCCGTCTCAGTCTTGTCCCATTGTAAATAAATGAAATTAGCAAAGGTGTTGTTATATGCAAGAGGCTTTCTGATGAGAAAGAAAATGGTAGCCCTGGGGGAATGTTTGTAAAATTGGCTTCTATAATCAGGGTTCAGTTTAGCGAGAGTAAGATTCGGCAGTTGTTCTGGGGAATTTTCAAGTCTGAGTTGGGTGTTGAATGTATCCTTGATACATGTACACACACACACACACACACACACACACACACACACACACACACGGTGATCAAACATTTGTATAGCAATATGTAGACAGGGATTAAGTGGAGTTGGCATAAGGCCAAGCTTTTCAAATGTGGCTGGTGGTTTTGCATGTCTCAACTTGAGATTCCTTGAAGGTCACTGATTTTCAGAAAGTTCTTAGCACCCTCTGAAATCAGCCCCTTCTACAGTGTGCCTAACTGAACACTTTAAAACGGAGGCACCCAAAATCATTAGCCATATGTTTCCATTATGTTTAGCCTATCTGCTTCATTCCTATTTTTAAATTATATGGT